TCGATGAACTAAAACGTTTCTCTGTAAGTCAGTCATCTTCTCAGAAATTTCAATAACTGAAAACCTCAAAGAGGATTTTTAAAGCACATATTCAATCACAGGCAATCTTTCCAACAATAACTTCAGATTTTTGGCCATCCAAAATTACCCAGAGGTCATTCAACTGTGCATGTGTACATGTGTGTAATCAACACAGAGCCACACAAAGGCAGGGTGTATCGCGTTAACGTGACAGACCACTTACTAGAAGGCTGACCTAAAATTACATTCCCAGCTGTGTTAAAATTGAATATTGACTCCTTTCACTTCTTTTTTAATGCTAAAGGAAATCAGGAGGTTTTGGCTGTAGTGACTTGGTATCATAATAAACACGTCTAAAAATCCCTTTCAGTTCACTTCATAATTCAAAGCTGAAAACTTCTCCAGAAGGCTGACAGAAGAGCTGCAGGTAAGTATATACCCATCCGATTCCCAAGGCCCTCTTGTCATTAAGACAGTGATGAATACAAATTGAGCAGCCAGCCCATTCCCATTGCATTGCCTGACTTGTAAGCACCTTATGACCACCCAACGACGCTTCAGCCAGGGGACTCTGCTGGAACAAAATTAATTATCTGCCCTACACTCTCCTGAAAAGCACTGCTGTGAAGGTACGGGGCTTATGCTTTCAACCTGAGGTGGTTCATATATTTTGATTTATCAAATCTCTGATCATTCTGCCTTTTCCAGGGGAGCTGAGATGAGAATGTTAATACTCTGCAATTTTCGCTTTTTCATTTCATTGTTAAAAGATGTTTGTTTATAAGTAAGAGCAGGTGAGGAGGGCACAATAGTAAACAAGTGAGCTACTTAATTGAAAGCTACAAAGTTAAACCTTGAGCTACTCTGAAACTGAATGGTTCAAAAAAGACTCAGGTACTGGAAGAGAGCAAAACAATGGCAGCCCTGCAAGGACTCCAAGTCCCCCCAGAGTCATGGGGTTTCCCTCCCACCCCCATAATAGAATACTTGAAAGACAAAAATGTTTGATTGAGAATAGCTGTCACAGATTCATGTTGGAAGTAAGCAGTGCTATCATTTGTTGTCCACACTAAAAACAATTAAACACATTTTGTGGCTTTCAACATTTTTTTGTTTACCCTTTCACCCCTACACAAATAGCACTTACTAGCGATTGCTATCACTTAAGAAATACAAAAACATTTGCAATCCAGCTTCCTTTTTTAACATATTCATAATATATTAAGAGCAGACTTCGTTCAATTATAACAAAGAACAGACTTTAAATCACCGAGAAGTTCATTATCAAACTCAGATCCCTATTCAGAAAAACCCAACCTCCTCCTGAAGCCATTGCAGTGTCAGCCTATTTCATCTTCCCAGAAGGACCAGCTGCTCCTCTGGTGGGAGATGCCCACAGACACTGGAGGAGTCCCGACTCCCACTTTCAGGCAGCCCAAGGAGATGTGTTTGAAATGAAAGCCTCCTTGCCCCAGCTGTGATGCCCAGCAGGGAACTGTAGGGCCTGGAGCTGGCCTATCAGCCCTTCCACAGATCCTGTAGTCATGGGACAGCACTTGTGGAGTCACCCCAGCAGCTCCTGCCCCCTCACACAGTGTATGGGCCTGGGCCAGCTGCCTGAGGTACCAACACCGGAACCGCTGCCACAGCACGGACACAACGCAGACCCATCTACCCGTCTGCAGAACGGATGAAAAGTGTGAATTATCTATATTGAGTCCCTTTTTTCTGGGTAAAAAAAAACTACAAAAGAAAAATGAAGCAACAGTGATCAAAACTCACTGGTAGGACTTGGAATGACATCAGCGTTTTAAGGATGTGATGGTATTTGGTGATGTTTTACTGAAGGAATGGCACATCTATAATCCAGATTTTCTCAGCATCATAACTGGTTCAGAGCAAGAACAAAGAGAGATACTGACAGACTACATGTAAATTTATCTTGCAATAGATTATACCTGCCTTGCTTCAGCCTGACCTTCTACCTGCTTGTTGAAAGGGAAAACAACTCAAATTCAAGGTTCAGTTACTACAAGTACCCTTTAGAGCAAGTAAGAGTTTTAAATGACACAATCATCTGTTGCTATTTCAGAGAAAATATTTAAGTTTTGGAATGAATTTCCAAACATTTGCCATTGTGTACTCTAAACCATGACTAACATGTCTTCAATTAATATTGAACTTAAACTTTAGTCAACTATTGCATCTGTCCACAGCAACAACTTTTTCAACAAATGCAAATTCCTCTTTCCAATAAACAAATGAGATTAAACATCTAACATATATGGTAAACATTGCACATTCTCAAACCAAAACACTACACACCAGACTTGGGGTCCTCAGATATAGAAGTAAATTAGTATAAATAACACTACACTTTGGTAATATGGGAGATCATAATCACGTCTCTGTCTCCAAAATGCCAGATACTTACAGAAACACTGGGTTCTATTTATGATCCTTAAAGGGGCTCAACAGCCACCATTCAAATTACAGCACAAAATGTTTACATAAACATACACCTCAGTTTGACTATAGATGGGGAAAAAAGTGTATCTCAAAATTACCATAACTTGGCAGCAGCACAAAACACCTTTTTGTTTCAGGATTTTTTCCTTAAACTTCCTTAAATAACTTAATACTGGCAATGCTTTAGAACATGAAATGCCTGATCCACAGAAAAACGTCTGGTGTTTTGTTTTCTGTCTGCCTAAATGAACAAGACAGGTGTATTTCAAAGTTGTGACTCCATTTTAACAGTGGGAATGCTCTTCTATTGGGATGTTCCTATTGTTATTTTAAAGCACACTGTTAATTTTATCTCTGTATGTACTTTAAGCACCTAACTGCCTCATAAATTGAAATTTAAAATCCACTTAATTAATTTTAAACAAATATAGTAATTACGCGATAATTCCGTGACTATATATATTGTTATATTTTCTACATTTAAATTAGCATAGAGTGACACATTCAGTGTATCTCATCCAATCTGATGGTACAAACCGCAGTGTTACTGTGATTTTACCAGGGTTCCCTGTGAAACAAATGAATAGTTGCACCTTAGTATGATGAAAAAGCACTTTTACACATCCTTTCTGATCTATTGTCTAAAACACGAACAGGCCTGTTTTCTGAGACGCCAAGCTCTATTTGCTTTTTAACGCAGAATTACCTTTCACAGGAGAACTGTTTTAAAACAGGGATTGCAAAGCAATTTAAATTAGTTTTCAGTAATATTTACAACTATAAAATTATGCATAATGGATTCCTAATCCGAGACCGCGTGGGCTGCGCTGCTGTTGCCGAGGCAGAGCCAGACCCCGGGTCCCGCACGGGGAGCCCCCGTCCCGCCCCGCTCCCCGCGGAGGCAGGTCCGGACCGCCCGCGGCGCTCCGCGATCGCTCCCCGCGCCCGCCGCGGGACAAAGCGGGGGCACCGCCGGCCCCGCGCCCCCCGTACCTGCCCCGGCCGCTGCCCCGCCGAGCGCCGGCACCGCCCCCTCATCTGCATGGCACTGCCCCGCCCCCGCCGCGGGGCACGCCGGGCACAGCGCTCGGGGCACAGCACGCCGGGCACGGGCGGCCGCGTCCCCCGCTCTCCTCGCCCCGGGCCCCGCCGGGGCCGCAGCCGCGGCCGAACCAGGGCCGGAGCTGGGGCCAGAGACGAGCGGCGCCGCCCGCGACCCCCACCCCGACCCGGGCGAGAGCCCGCCCGCCCACCGCGGCGGTTTCCAAGGAGACCCATTCCCCCCTCCCCCGGCTCTGCGGCCAGAGCCCGGGCTTCCTTTTCCCTTTTTCCTCTCTTCATTTCCAAGGGGCAGGGAGCTCGGGGGCGGCGAGGGTCGGGTTGTGCACGGCTCCTTTCAGCGGACACACAATAGCGAACCGGTACGAACACAACGCGAACGCATCTCTCCGCCCGCAGCCCCGGCAGCGCTGGGCCCTGCGCTCCCCACAGGGACACGGCAGCGAAATCAACGTGGTACCTATAAGGAACATTTCCCCATTGAAATCATAAGTGCACATAAAAGAAGATTCTGTTCTCAACGTTGTGGGTTTTATTTCTGTATTTCCCCAACTGCTTTTCAAGGGCTCCATCTCCTTTCTGCTGAAATACTCCCCCAAAATCAGCACATCTCTTTCTTTCAGGCATTGCCAACATATCTAATTCACGATCTCCAGTATTCAGAAAAGGGGAAAAAAAGCCCACAAACCAGTACTGTAAAGAGATTTCAAGATTAAAACTTTTACCTGGTTAATTTCTACGTGATGTGACACAACAGAAAAATTGCTTGTCTATCCTCTGTAAGACAAACATAGGCCACAGAAATCTCTGGGAGCAGTTTTCAAAAAATAATTAATGTATAATTAACTAAGAACTACTATGAGAAATAAATACTTGCTTGAAAAATAACATGTATTGCATTAATATTAGAGTGAAATGCAGGCAGAGGGTTATAATGTATCACTCCTATGTGTATATAATTGCATTAAAAATAAGACAAAACACCACTTTCAAAATTACCCAAGAAGAATGTGTAGGAAAAAAACATAAGTGCACTGTTAGATATGCTCTAATGTTACATTATTTTTAACCAAACACAGACGCTACAGATCTCCAACTGAGAAAGAATTAGTCTCAAATACATAGCAGAATAATAGATTGTTGTTACTAAATATTTTATGTTATTGGTAAATGATCCATCTAGCATAAATTTAATTTTACTTGCTACCCCATTTTTCATGCACAATTGAAGTTTGAATTGCATAGGAATAATGGTAGAAACATTTTTACAATAAGTTTGATCACAGAACTTACACAATTTATTTAGCCTGGTATCACATTGATGTGAATCCTTCCAATCCCACCTTACAAAATGCAAAAAACGCTGACTTTAGTAATAATAAGGAAATAGCAAAACCCCCACTTATATTTAAAATACTGAAGTGTGTGAAGAATCTATAAAAAAAACTGACCTGTTCAAATTGTTGTTTTTCCAATCCATGCACTGTTTTTATTAATTAGGAACCAAACCAGATTGATCGTCATTTTATAACGTTTGACATATTCACTGTCTTCCTACTTCCAGCGGAATCTTCTTAAATCTCCCAGCACTGTGTTTTATTGCTGGTACCATATGCTTTATTGTTCAGCCACAAGAGCTTCGCTCTGCACAAAGACTCATTACCTACTGCTTGCTGAGCAGCTTCAGGCTCACTGAGGCTGCCTGTGTGATCACATGGGAGTTTTGTCTGAGAAAGCCAGGCATGCCACTGATTTCACCGGCTACAGATATTTTTATCAGCTGAGGTCTACTATGAGGAAGGAATAACAAATTCTAAGGCTTCTTTAGCTCATTAAGACAGCAGTTGTTATGGAAATCCCCTCAACTTTTTTTTTCCCAATTATTATTATTATTAACACTCCCACTTGTAACACTGGTCCAAGTAGAAATTCAAGAGATCTGTTAGAAGTAATTTTTTCTTATGGGGAGTGGCACAAACCATGCATTGTCTGCATCGCTCCGCACACAGTGCACACTGAAATTAATATTCTGGAGAGGTAATATTTTGCCAACACTTAATCTGCCAGTGTTTATCCCTTATGGAGAGGATGAGCTTCCGAATGAAAAATTGTACCTAAAAAGCAGCCCCTTGATTTGAATTTGTCTCATCAGTCAAGGGCATTATCCTGTAATCTTTGGTCGTAAAATGAGTTTTGCTGGCTTCAGTGAGCCTACTCAGGTGAATGAGAATTGGCCATTTGAGCGAGGATTAGTCTCAAATCCGAATGACAAATTATGTAATACAATGAAGTCTAATCTCTTCTTGGTAATAGTTGCTGATACTCAGGGCGGGATTTTTTTGTGTGCGCGTGTTTGGTTGGTTGGGGTTTGCTGTTTATTTTTAAAAAAATATAAATTTGAATAACATTTTATATTACTTAAAAACTTAATATTTACCTAAGCATTTCACATTAGAATAAGTGAATATCTACATTCAAATTACAAAAGCCTTTATAGAAAATGGTAAATATTATTGATCTTTTTTCACTGATGCATTATCAGTATGAGGGATCCATGTTGGAATATTTGGAGATAGCTTAACTCCTTCTGCAGAGTGAATTTGCCAAATATTCTAATTTAAAGCTCTCAACAAACCATCTAGTGATCTAGTGATGATAAATGAACATCTCTTCTCCACCCTGAAAACTGGTAGTGAACACGCAATTATCCATAATTTTAACACTGCAAAGATGCTGCTATTCTATAGTCAATTATCTCTAGAATAATTCATAGGATTTTGATAACATAAGATAGCAAAAAAACCTGTTTTCTCATTAACATTCCACAAATGAAATACCTCCTTATTCTATTTAAGATCTCTCTCATTACAATAAATGACAGCTCGTAGCTCATGGTTGGCATTATTCTGGTCCTATGGAAGTGAGTGGAAGTTTTGCTACTGATCTGCATGGAAGAAGGGACAAGCATGACTAATACAGTTTCATTCGCCTTACCGTGTCATCATGCAAATCAATGACAAAACTCATTTCTTTATTGTTCTTGGCATCTTGCTCATCTTGTATTATTAAGGTTTTGTAACAGTTGATATGCAGTGTCTGTGATTACACTGAATTATACCAGATGGTTAGTAAAGGATTCAGAATTACCCACAACTAAATACAGTAATGAATATCTTCTAGACTCTCACATTCACGTTTTTTAATAAAAAATTCTGTTATCAAGAATGACTGTATTTTTCAGTGCCACCATTTTCATCTACCCAACGACACGGACCGAGCAGATTGTTCGTGGCTGAGAACCTTCTACGTCTCTTAAGCAGAAAGCACTGCTGTGTACACATTAATGAGAAGAAACGAAAGCAGACTAGATGGGTTGCTAACGAACAGCTGGTTTAGCTAAAGCTATGCATTTTTTTTCCCCTGGCGATATCACTGATGATGTCACGATGCCAGTGCAGGAAGACATAAACAAAAGGCAGGCATTTTTTCTGCAGTAGCACTAAGGGAAAAAATAAAAACCAAACCTCTGACAGATAGAAAGAACAAAAACTGGCAGAAAAATAGTACTACTGTCACATTTTTGTGGTTTGTTGTTATATACACTATGGAACAGTTCTGAAATCCAGGAAGGTGGTTAGAGGAAAACACATTCAAGGACATGATACAGTTAAACCAGTTAGCAGCAAAGTGTTGTTTCTGCAGGAGACAATAGCAGCAAGCAGTCTCCAAGGCAGCCTCAGTTAATCACTTCTTCAAGGTTGATGGGGGGAGGGAGGGAAGCTTCAATCCTCCATAGTGGAATTTGGAATTTCCTAATTCTAACTTGACATATTTAGGTAACTGAATTATATTCCATCCCATACTCTCTTCTTACAGGATTACTGAATAGATGTCAGAGCAACATTGCTGAATTTCTGCTCAAACATACTATTAAGGAAGTGCCTTTTTGCCACCATGGAAGGCATTATAGATCACCCAAGAGCCAGAACTTAGACCTCTCTTGTCACTCCTTAGTAAGAAGAGCTCCAAATGAGACAATACATTCCAGTACCCCTCTTGTAAGAGACAGGACTTCTTCAAGAGAATCCAAATTCACCTTTCCTTGAAACAACAGTGGGTGTATGCAAATGCTTAGCAGTCTCTTCTACCCAAGGCCTCCCATGGGGAGTCAAGGTAAGCAAGAGCTCTCTTTTCTCTAATGTAAGGAAACAGAATCAAGAATCTGCTGACCATCTGTAAATAAGGGTAAAATCCTGGTTTATTCTACTCTATGTGCATTTAAACTTGAGTACTTTTATAAAGGTTACATGCATTGAAATACAGATCTTGCACGGAATTTAAAAACAAACAAAAAAACCCCCAAACGCCCACAACAACCCAAAACGAGCCATATATTGCATATCAGACTAAGCCTACGATTTGAAATTCAAATAATTTCCACCTTATACAACTAAATTATTTTGTTAGGTATTGAACTTAATCTGCTGTTCAGTATCCTGTATCACAGTTGGATGAATCAGATATGAATCAAAACAATTACAGGAACAGACTGTTCAATTTCATTGAACAAAAAAGGGGCACCTTGCACTCAATTCTTATTCTAAAGTTTGGAATCCTGTACCTTGCAATGAAATGCAAGAGCTCCTCTTTTTCCAAGTACACCAAAAATGCAATAACTTCCATAGCAGTTGAGTAAAAGAGGGTTTTGCTGAAACTCTTTTGCAGTCTAGTGCCAAAAAAGATCTGAAGTCTAGGATTTATAAAACGTGTTCAGTGGACCATGCATGCTCTACTCCAGCTCTTACAAACAGCATGGTTCACATGCCATGGTTTGCAATTTATGAGCTACAGCAGCAGCTCTAAATGCCTCAGCACTGGCTTTCAGGTTTGGAAATAGATGATTAGTGGTCACTTCTTTGGTAAGATCTATAAACCTTACCCATGTCAAGTCCTCTAATTTGAATTCAAATTCAAATTGCAAACTTCCAGTGGAACTCTGCCATTACAGAAGTTCTAGAGAGTTAAAAATGCACACCTAAGAGAAAATAGTGTAATAATTAATCTGAAGTTACTATCAGTAACACTGGGCTAGGATAATCTTAAGTATAAATTCTACATATTTCTTTCCAGACCAAATATAACTTAATCAAATAAATTTCCACACCCTGGCCCCAAATGTCTTGCTTTCTCTAGATATATCACAGTCACAGCTAAACCATCTTCAAGTAGTGTCATGGTAACTCTTTGGTTCCAAATACTGGGGCCTGATGGATTTCTATAGCCTGCCAGGAAGAATGACACATTTTGGGTTCCTGAACTGTGCAAATATGAAAATCCTACTCATTCATAAATGGCATTTTCAACAAAGAAATGCAACTATGTTTTGAAATAAAAGTCAGTGAAATAAATGAAAATAGACAAAATTTATTTGAAAGGTAAGATGATATCTGCTTTCTCCATCCATCTCTTGATCTGCAACCTATAACTGAAGGGCAGGCCTGTGGGAAGCTGTTCTGATTTCTGCACCCTAGCAATCTCATCCCCAACTTCATGCAGTGACTCCTAGCTTGTCAATGTAGGGCTGCTAGTGCCACCCTTCACTCTTACTTCTGGCACTCTTACCCTGTCATGTCAATTTGAAGGACGCCATGTACAGTTTGCTATTTTTCTGATTCTTAAAAAGTACCTGCTTGAGCAGGGCCAAGTTCCTAAAAGCAGGCACAGAGTAACAGTAAATTCTCTTTACACATACTATGAGGTATAGAACAGCATACCCCTTCCTACTGAATTTTAGCAAAACAGCTCTTGAAAACAACCTCATTTTTAATGATACAGTCTTGCTACATCTTACATAACCTGCATTTTTCCAAGATAAAATTAACCCCTTCCAGGGTGATATCTCAAAGGAAAGCACTCTTCCTTTCAGAAAACAACACTGAAAGGAACTATGCATTAGAAGAGCTACTGTATGCAAACAAAAATACCCCCCTGTAGTAAACATACGGGGTTTCTTTCTCCTTTCACAACCTTTCTCAAAACTGATAGTTAACTACCAAAATCAAAGAAATATTAGCTTTGGCAGGCAAACTAGTGTACTGAGAGGTGTATAGCCAAGTGGCAAAAGAATCTCGTGACTACTGTTGCGTTAGATGATGTGAATGATCAAAGCAAATAATTAATAATGTAATGCTTCATACAGCCATCATTCAAAATGCCAGCAGAGCATCGTGTTTTTCAAATAAAACTAAGTAAGTTATATTTGAAAAAGCAAACTGGTCATTACCTTGTTTAAAAAACAAACACTTAGAAGGCAGATACTTGAAGAAAAGAGACTGCCTGTGCTGTCTTGTATGTGCTTCGTAAGCCAGCTTTGCTCCAGCCAGTTTCCATGACACCTCAGACATTGCAATGTGATCCATGCAGATTAGTAACTCGGAACTATGCAAAACTATGCTTGGTGTGGTTAGAAATTGCAAGACATAAACAGAAGAAACAAAGGTACCTTTTCGTTTATAATTAACTGACTCCTTACTCCATTCCTTTTTCTCTTGCTTGGTCACTAAGCACACCTTTTCCCAAAGTATTATTTTCCAGCTTATAAATTTCACTTGGCTGTTGACCAGCAAAAAGTTTTAAAATAAATAAAATTAAGATATATTTGAAGCAAGCATGATAG